CTAGAAATATTTGAAGGAATGAATTTTTATTTATGTTCCCGTTGCTTGTAATGTTCAGCTTATTTTACATTGATTTCCCTTTAGAATTTGTCTCCTCCAATATGAGGTCAAGCCACTCTCCATCTTTATAGATATACAAGAAGTCCCTGGTGTTCCTGCCTCTAGGCTTTGAGATTTGGGATCATTCAGTGACAGAGGTTCAGTGAGAAAGATAAGACAGCCAGGTATCTTGGTATTAGATTCAGTTCTCAAAGTATTGATTTCATTTGGAATGCTGGAACTCTCTCAGATGGTTGATTTCTAAGGCTTGGTTATCAGTGTGAGCCACTCTGTGCAAAGCAGCAGGCCAGCGGGTCCCACATATTCTTAGAATCACAGGTATATAAACAAAGAACTTAGAGTTTTGTTGGCAAGTAGAAATATTAAATGCTGAGGATGATTGCAGCAAGATGTACACAATGAAGGTGGTGGTAATTTAATTGGTGGTGGTGGGGGGGTGGAACTCCTAAATTGGAATGAGCTCCAAATATAAGACAACAGAATCCTAAGTAGTAAGTAGATCTTCACGGAAGTGTGTGCTTGAAGCTTTCTTAACATTAAAGCTCCTATTAAGTCCAGAGCAGTCATTACTATTCTTTTAGATTTGACTTCTACAACAAACACATTTCAGACCTCACTGGCTACATTAACAAAATGAATATACAGTCAATTACTCTCCAACCTTTGAGCCAATGATCTTGACAACAACTCAGACAATTTCACCATAATCACCAGGCAGGCATACACATCTGGGCTTCTGGCCAACACTGGCATGTGTGAAGTCAAGAACAACCATCTAAACTTTGGGACCATTTTATGCAAATGAGACAAATGAAATTCATCCCTTTGTTTCCTTACTAATCTTCTCTAATGTGTCATTCTTCAGGGGCTACTACTTTGAATTGTTTACTATTAGTTGATTAAATTTTTATAAGCTTGATTATTTGGCACAATTGGGTAAGGTTATTTTGCTGCTAAGCTTCTATTTCTCCACAGTAGTGGTTCTCAGATTTCAGGGTGCTTAAAATTACTTGGGGGATCTTGTTAAAAAATGCATGTTCTCCATGCTCCACTCCCAAGATACGGATTTACTAGATATGGAGCAGGGCTCAGGAATCTGTGTTTTAAGTGCCCTAGAGAATCTGGTACAGCCCACAGAGACGAACGCAGGTGGGTTTCTTTTTTCTCCAACCACTAGATGAAGATAAGCCTGATTCAAATTATTTTTTTCATAATTTACTGTCCTTATGATAATAATTTGAACAAACTAGAATAAATAACTCTTGAATATAAAACTGATGGCTTCTATCCAAATTAATCCTGTTTTTCTTGCAATGATGTAAGTTACTCACCATGTCATAAATGAAGTTTGTTACCCAGTAGCATGTCACACCGATGCCTGAAATGTGTTGCAATTGTTTGGCTTTGGTTTGATGTTCCCTTACAATGTAGGTGACAAAGCTGGCGGTGGTGACAGAGTAGCCCATCAGGATGGACAGTGCCACTAAAATATCAATTAAACTGCTGATTCTGTAGTGAGCAATAGGGAGAGGAAAGCACACGTAAGTTTTTGGAGCTCTTTTCCTTTCAGAGAGATTCATGACTCAAGCTATCAACAAAACAGCGCAAGAGTTGGCTGTGACACAAATATGGCTTCCTCTAAGGCAGCCAGATAATATCTCCAATGTGCCTCTTCTGTGACCCTGGAATAAATGTAGTTTTAGTGCATCTGAATCGACTAGGGATATTTGATAGAAAAGCCTCAGTCTCCAAGGGTTACAGGGTATATGCAAAGGGTATATATGTCTTGAGCATAGAAATAGTACTTAAATGCTATGCAGGGAAGTTGAAATGACGGAGCATTTATGCACTTGATTCATGAAAGCAGCAGACTCTGTGAATCCGCAGTCAACAAGCTCTGCTTGGCAAGCCCACTCTGCACCCTTTCAGAAACTTCCTTTTATCTCAGCCAGTGACTTATATTACCAGCCCTTCTAGACTGACATTCATTCAGATACAACTGTGATTTCCAATTATAGCACTGTATGCAGAGGCTCAGC